TGTTTCAGGTTCCGGGGGCTGCCAAAAAGTGGTGGGCCGGAACAGGGACGACGATGCGAAGGTCAAAAACCGTCGTGAAAGCCTCCCACCCTCAGCCTCTGAGCGAGGGGGGGGAGAAGGTGGATCGCTCCATAAGGGGTAGGGAGGAGACGACCACGTGCCAACCGCGGATCCGGGACCGGGGCGGAATCGGGGACGGCGTCGACGGCTCCGTTGCCGTGTCGGACCGGGACCAGGCGGGTGGCAGCATCGGGACGGACGTCAACCTCGCGGGCGCCGTGGCCGGATTCACGCCATCGTCTTGGACGATGGAGGTGGAGGAGGAGCCCAAGACCAAGGCTAAGGTCAACATCTCCCGTCTTCAGCCTTTGAGCGAGGAGGAGATGGCCGGGAACTCCGGGAATTCCGGGATCAACTCCGGGAACACTTTGGGCTCAAACCCCAAGGCTCCAACCGTTGATGAAGAAGAAGACGGGGAACTCAGGAACCAACCTGGCGCCGGAAACGTCCGAGGACCAAGACAGGGGACGAGTCAAGGCTCGAAGCAACCTTTTGTTGCTTCCTCTGGCTCTCGGGAACGCGACTGTGACTGCGACCGCGACCGCGACCGCGACCGTGGACTGAATCGCCATCAAGACGAACAGGGCCATCAAGCTTCTCGACGTATGGACCGCGACAAATGTGGCGAGCGCCGAGAAGAGCACCGTGGCGATCAACGGAACCGCGACCGGGGCAAAGGCCATGTCCGGGACCGTGATCGGGATCGCGAATTGAAGCCGTGGTCGAAGGAGAATCCTAAGTTCTCTTTCCAAGACGGGAAATTGCTTGGCCGGACGGAGCTGGCGGCGTCGGGGGCGGTTCCGCCGCCGGCATCGGGATCGGTCCCGTCGACGTCTACGACGTCAGTGCCGTCGACTTCGAATCTGGTCCGAGCGTCAACACGATCGCCCTCTCCCAAGTGGAAAGTGAAAGGCATTGGCAAGGGCAGTTCTTCAGTTGCTCCCTCCGGCTCTCGGGAACGCGACCGCAATCGTGGACTGAATCGCCGTCAAGACGAACAGGGCCATGACGGAGGTGGCGGCGTCGGGGTCGGTCTTGTTGCTGGCACCGGGACCGGCTGCGTTGACGTCTTTGACGTCACTGTCGTCAACTTCATGTCGAGCATCAACACGATCGCCCTCTCCCAAGGGGAAGGGCAATGGCAAGAGCTGATCCACTTCAGGATCGGCAGCACTGATCGCGCGGATCGTGTCAAACGCGGCGATCGTCAAGAAGAGCACCGTGGCGACCAACGAAACCGAATCCGGGATCGGGATCGCGAATCGAGGTTGAAGGAGAATCTTAGGTTCTCCTTCCAGGACGGGAAAGCAGATCCACTTCAGGATCGGCAGCACTTGCAGAAACGTCTGTTTCTGCAGCATCTCGACGTCATGATCGGCAACCTTGTTTGCCCTGCCTTCTACATGAATGAGTTAGCACTTCAAGCTACTGTTTTTTTTTCATTAAACCTATAAGCTTCAAATGAGTCTTAAACCGGTTTTGAAATTTCCCATGTACCCTCTTGATGGGTCTCCAGAAACGAGGATCCGCTTATCAGTTATCAGTTTGCCAATACTGGCAATGGCTGAAATGGCTGATGATTTCCGTTCCCCGTTTTTCAGCATAACCTTGGTGGTCAATGCGCCCTCTGTTGTTTTCTCACAGGTACTACCGGCATACTGTTATGCCCCTAACTAATGTTCGGATTTGCCC